ATATATATTCCTCTTCCTGTGTATTGAATGAGAAGAAAAAAACGACACGTCATTTGTTCCCCACTTACCGTTCAGGACTTAAGCATACAAAAGAAAAGAGGACGAAGTCAAAAACTTTTAAAATCTATTATTACTATTAATATTATTTTCCTGTTTGTTGGATAAGAAGAAAATAAGTCTGGAAAAATTACACTGAAGAAAATTTTTTTATCACTTGCCCTTCAGGACTTAAGCAAGAGAAATAAAACAAAACAACACATTTTTCTGTTCCAGTCTATTGGCTGTTTGCTGTAGAAATGAAAGCATACACATTTTTATCACCAATTTTTTTTATAACTTTTGATGTCCAAAGAAACCAAAAATTATGTCAGACTTAAAAAATGTGCATTTGAAAAATATTTCCTCCTTCCCTTTCTGGGTTTCCACAGTTTAGGGTTAGGTATGGATCATAGTTGTTTGCAGGGCTCCATAAAAACAGTGAAACATAAAAGAGTGAATGTTTCTCCTGGCCTTTGATATTAAGGGACACAAGGATAGTATGAATTGAAATACACATTTAAAGGTAAAGAAAAATCTGTTTGAGAAAGTAGTGATAAGAAATATTAATTATCTCAGTGAGCTGTGTATCCATCTTCCCTTGCCTTGCTCCCACTAGCATTTCTAATGCTCCTAACCTGCCCTTGTGAATACTAATTCTGTTTTACATTTTTAGCTTTATCTTTGTTTCTGACACATCAGAAGTTAACTTTGTGATGAGAGAACACAATTTTTATTACAAGCAGGAAATAAGAAAAAAAAAGCAGCAGAAGCACTTCCAGCATGATAATGTCCTGTGCCCCTTCTCTTAAATCATCAGGAGGCTTACTCTGTGGCGAGGCAGTTTAATTTGATCCCTCCAGTGTGTGAACAGGCAGAGTATCATCTCTTCCAGAGGGAGAAAGTCGAGGTGCAACTGCCTGAACTTTACCATAAGATAGGTAAGGACTATCTMTGGCACTGAGTACGCTTTGTTGCACCACAAAATGTTTCACTAACACCTGAAGGTCAGAATTTCAAAAAGGTTTTTTTTTTTACTGTCATTGTTTTGCAACTTGTCTCCAAACTCATTCAAACTGTTCATCTACTTTGGGTTTTTTATGATACCAGGAGTTGGGGCGATGACTTGGTCACCACTAGCGTGTGGCATCATCACAGGAAAATATGAAAATGGCATCCCAGAATCCTCAAGGGCCTCGATGAAGGTAAGCAGGAGGGTCTTTCTTACAGTGTTAAAGCTGACCCAATATGAGGGTCCTAGAACAAGTTAGGATCCATCTACAAAACATGTTCATTTGATTTCATTCGCAAAATAATCTCAGATAATGAAATTTCACCTTTTCAGTTCCGTCTGTTCTGAGCTCTCTTCAGAATGTGCTGTTTTGCATAAGTTATGGAAACCTTTTGTTTACGTTAGCTCCGCCCTCCGCCAGAAGCTTCTTTTCAGTTTCCTTTCAGTRGAAAGTACTATTTTTCTAAAGTAGTTCATGGTGAAATTATTTACACAAACTACAACTTTCTTTGTTAATATTGCTAGAACACTGTCATCAAAAATAAAAATAAAATTAAATAAAAAATAAAATTAAGCCACACATCTCTGTTCTCCATGACTTTTGTAAAACAGCAGAACCATCCTGTGAAAAAGTGGGTGGAGTCTCCGCTTGGGTTACTAGGAGGGGCTGGGCTCAGGCTGGGGTGGGTTAGAGCAGTGGTCTCCAAACTTTTTATCTTCTGACCCACAAAATATTCATGTCAAAAACTTGTGACCCCAAATATTACTGGTCTGAGTACACAAACTTTGTTAATAATCCTAAAAACAAAGGCTACACAATTATAAATGCTTATTTATAATTATTTTGTGTTTTTGTAATAATTATAGTGAAAATATTACATCACCAATTATTTTATTACCCTTTAAATTGATTTCTGAAGTGCAGTGGTTCCCAAACTTTTCAGCTTTTGACCCACAAAATAACAGTAGCAGAGACCTGTGCCCACAATTATTTTTGGATGATAAACATTTGTATCAGGTCAACTAAACATGGGCATAGTAACAATATTTATTATTCTACATTTATACATTTTAAGCAACTAAGGCAAAAATGTATTAATTTAGAAAATCTTTTCAGGACACCACCTGGATGTTTCAGGACCCCACTTTGGGTCCCGACCCCAACTTTGGGAACCACTGGGTCAGAGTACTGTTTGTGATGTCACAAACAGCAGTGTTTGAAAACAGGTCATTTCAAGACACGAAAAAATACATTTACTTATAGTAAAAATACCTCTGAGTGYATTGTTTTTGTGCTTGGACTGTTTWAAGAAGCAGTWCAGACACAAATGTAAGTAAAAAAAACAAAAAAGGGAAATTTGCATATTAGGTCCCCTTTAAGGCTATGTTCAAGATATGAAGACTTATTCATTATTTATGGCAGCAGGCAGGATTCAGAGAAACACAACAGCCGGGACTGGTTTATACGAGTTCCTAGAAATTAAATTAAGTGTCGACCTACTCTAAGTAAATTTGTCAGTAAATGTGTGCCACACAATGCAAACAGCCTCCATTGCTTTCTTTGTTATCTAATTTTCGATTCTTCGTACGTCTCACCGCTCCATAAATCACTCACTCTGTCTCCTCTGCTGTTCCAGTCTTATCAGTGGTTGAAGGAGAAGATAGTGAGCGAGGACGGAAGGAAGCAGCAAGCCAAGCTAAAAGAGCTGAACCACATCGCGGAGAAGCTGGGCTGCACGCTGCCTCAGCTGGCCGTGGGTAAGACTCTGCTGTTCAGTTCGAGCAGCGCCTCAGATCGCATTATTACACCACGCACTCATAACCTTTAAAATCAAAGYTGCCAGCTCAGTTTTGCATTCTTGTTAAACAAAAGTTAACTTCTCTTTGTTGTCCAGTAAAACAAAAGGCTAGTCAATAGTTTGTCATCAGGTTGACATTAAATTCACCTCAAAGTTTTATTTTTTTTTTTGTGTCTCTGTTTCCAGCGTGGTGTTTAAGAAATGAAGGAGTGAGTTCAGTCCTTCTAGGAACGTCCAACCCTAATCAGCTCACAGAGAACCTTGGGGCCATCCAGGTGACAGCATGCAGAAACACCTGCTGGATTTGTTGATCCTCCTCAATCAGCAGTTAGAGTTAATGTCATACTATTGTTAGTTTGGGGTAATTGGTAATATTACTTTGTTTACATAAAATGTCTTAACAATCAGGTTTACATCAGTAGTTTTATATTGAAGACTGGGTGACGACTGTTTCATTACTTTTTGTTTATTTGTCATTTGTAGGCCTGAAATCCAACATTCACACATGCCAATCACATAATTAAATGAGAAAGTATCCTTTCTTGAGGGCGTACATATTGTTCACTGCACTGCATGAAAAAGTTTTAAACAAAGATCTTAATTTGTTTGTTAGATCTCTCAGTGTTATACCACCAAAACTGAGCTGTTATCTACAACACTGTTATAACCATTGTTGTATTTTTTAAGGTAGATTAGCAGCTATTTTAATTTTTTTTACTCTTAGAGTTAAGCAGCCAATGATTACTTCACAAGACTTATTAAAATTAAAGGTCATGAGATATTTTGCAAACAGACTGAACARACAACCACACACATGTTCACCCACTGTTTTTGTCAGCAAGTAATAATCAGCTTAAACAATTCTAACTATTCTTTTCATTTATAACCCATGGGACCTTTTAAAGGTGGCTGGAGTTTTATGTATGCAAAGTAAAATTGTTCAACCCAAGTCGAATCAATACAGTGGTTAAATAAAACCTCACATCTAATAACTTAGTGAGAAAAAACAGTTATTTATTTGTTTTATTAATAATTCAGCAATATAAAAAAAGGGGCTCAATTGTTGTGGAGTAATAAAATTTGTCATAAGACTTGTTCATTAGCAAAGCTGGCCTTCRGCCATTGCAGATCTGTTCATATACCTCTGGGGATTTATAACATTTACAACCGTGCTAAAATATAATAAATCCACTGAGTGCAGGAACAGAGTTTATACTGTTCAGGAATATGAAGATGTGTCTGTAATCCATTTCACTGCTGCAGTGTCAACKTTAAATCAACAGTTGTTTAGTCCAAATACAGTTTACTGGCATTGTAATTTTTGTTTATTCCAATAAAGTCCATTTTTATTATTTTACTATTTTTCATTCAAGCATTTAGGTCAGAGACCTGCAACATTCAGCCGCTCTCCAATGGCACCTTGTATCTTTGACTAAAACTGAAATGAACCTCTGTCATTATTATTTCAATTGATAAGTACTTTAACATAATATATTTTTTAGAAATCGTTTATAATAATATGCTAAATAAAAATTAAAATATGCTTTTAACAAAATACAGCCTTCAAGTAAGTAAATAAAGATTGTGGTTTTCTGTTTGAAAAAAAAAAAAGACATCACCAACAACTAATCTATGTTTTTAGGTTATTACACTTCAGTTGATGCTTTAATTATCTCTATGAGCTTCTCATTTTACTCCTTTTTTCAACCAAAGTGTTACTTTTCTTTGTAGAAGTGTTTTTATTCTTTTGTCTTAACACTTTAAAAAAACAGTGCATTCAACAGAATGCAACAAAAACTGAAGTTTTTTTCAATTCTATTAAAAAAACTTAATTCATTTCTTTGAAAACAAAATAAATTCAATCACAAACAAAATAAAACGAAAGGCAGCAGAGAGAAAAAAAATCTTACAGTATTGAAGTTTTAAAAATTAAAGTTAAACAACTACACTGTAAAGCGGACAAGTACATTGTTGTGTCTTAAACGTTATTTATTAGGAAAGTTGGTCAAATTGGTTCATTTTAAATGTAAAAGCTGGAGACTGTTGATTCAGGCCAACTTTAGCTGCCTCCATGTTGGATTGTCACTTTTTCTATTCATTTCTAGATTTTTAAAAACTGCTACAGCACATATTTTTTTCTGCTTTCATTTTACGTTTCTCCTGCTTTTTCAGGTCCTTCCTAAGATGACCTCTCACGTGGTGTCGGACATCGACCACATCCTGGGCAACAGACCCTACAGTAAGAAGGACTACCGCTCTTAGACCCGGCCGGTGGACCACCAAGATGTCAGCTAGCATCTACCTAACCTACCCCGCAACCTTGGACCCTCTGAGGGACACATCCACACCCCCTATCTCTTTCTCTCTTCTGTTGGGGGGGGTGGGTGGGGTGGGGGGTGCCCAGGTTCAGACCCACCTGACGGCCTTTGCTACGTCCAGCACTGCACGCTGCAACTCCGACTTTCTGCTTCAATCATCCCGACTCGGTCTCACCTCAGGTGCGGTCCGGCTTCAGCCCAGAAGAGCTTCGGCTTTTCACACAACTTAGTAGACTCCAGCCCTCCGCCCCGATCGGAGGCGTGCACCTACGATTCAGCGGCAGCACGCAGAAACWTAGAGATAAAACTATGCAGAGCTCTTTTTTTTGCAGCGCATGTTAAAGCTCAGATTCATCATTACAAACATCTATTTTTCTGACATCTGCACAACTAAAACTTACATCCAGACAGTAAAACAGCACGCAGCGATGACTCAGTTTTAAATATTAGTCAGCTTGGTTCATGAGGGGGCACAGCAGGCCTATTTCAAATGAAAGTGCCTTGTTCAAGAGCACCTTGTCATCAATCCTCCCAGTAACGCTCCAAAAGCTTGAGTTTACTTATTTAAGCTCCAAACCTGAATTCGCAAATAATTTGAGAATAAAAACAACATATTTTATTTATGAGGCCCACTGTACCACCGCTGAATACATTAGTGTGTAAACACATTAGCCTTAGGAGCTAGAGTTCAGAGGCTTCAGTTGCATGCTGAACACAAGTCACTTAGTCGATGCTTTCATTACTATGCCAGGCAGTGGAGCGAACGAAATTACCATAAACGCTTCAAACTTTCACTTCCTTCCTCMGAGGTGCAAGTCATGGGATGAAACTTCATCGTCGACAAGGTGACCCCCAGAAAACAGAGTTTATGCACATGAATTCATCAGCTCGTATCAGCTTTAAAACTCTTAGACAATGTAATCCATTCCATCTTTAATAATGATAGTATTCATGGACTGTATTRGCTGCAGATTGGGAGAAGTTTAATCAACAGATGCATGTTTCCCCCGTTACAGTGTGCCTCTTCTTCTCATTTGACTGCTGAATTTCTGATCTGAAGCACTGCAAGCTTGTCTGGAGTGTGTGTGTGTGTGTGTGTGTGTGTGTGTGTGGAGACTGGTGAAGCAGAGGAATATGGGACATGTGTGGGGACTTTGAAATAAGAGATATGTCGCCCTCGTGTGGTGGTTTTCTGAAGCTGCAACTCTATTTCACACAGGAGAAATGATGCCTTGCAAAAAACAAAAATAAAAAAGAACAAAAAATAAAATAAATAAATAAAAAACAGATATTTGATGTATGAATGAACGGTCTGGTTATGGTATGAACACCAGCCAAAAGCTGCTTGTTAATAGCACAACGTGACATTTAGAAAAAGGTTTCCAGATAGTATTTATTSTGTAGTCATAAAATCTTGAGATTTATTTTGTCTTTTTTAAAACACCGTTTTCAAGGTGTTACATGTATATAAAACTATACCAACARAAGCAACTCTACAAAGAAGTCTCTCTTGCATAACGAGGCTGCTGWATGATGAATATATTTAAATTAGATGTAAAAAGAATTATTTTAGTTTTTTGAGGATTTATTTTGTTGGCAGTGTCACTGCATATAGGTTGCAGTGTTTATGGCCATCTTCATCCCATCCTGACTTGACAACCTCAAAGTGTTCCTTTTTGTCTCTTCAAAAATATGTAAAAACAAAAACATTTATGAAGAACAGAAGTCAGTTTGTTTCCCAGGATTCTTCTAAAATTAACTGATTTCTTCAATAATATTCTTATTGTAAAAAAGTATCTTCTAATAAAAGACAATTACAACAA